GGGGGGTGTGACAGAAAATGCTTATCAATACCACCTATTGTTGAAATGGAAAATTCTTGGATTATGTGATTTCTGAATCTGAAAGTAGTGACATGAAAATCAGAAACCTGATAATATGCTCGTATCCTCGCTGATAGGATCCTCTTTCAAAGCTTGCTGCTGAAAGGGGTACGATCTGTTCTGCTCGAACAACCTTCAGTGTTTCATAAAATGCTGCTTCATTTTTCTTCTTGGCTGATAATAATAAGTGTCCCAGTCTGACACTCCAAGTAGTGGACTTCACATCTTTGGGGAGGGAAAAAAAGCCTCTCAAACTGTGTTACCTTAAGTAGCTTAATATGAACATGGTAATTTGTCTAAACTTACTACTGGAAAAATAAGTTTTTCTCAGAACTTAGTAATTGGATTTTAGAAATACTATGTAATTCCACTTCACAATCCATCCCGATAAACAGAGAAGAAATCTGGCCTTACAGTCACTTGAAATTTCTACTCAAAGACTATACAGTTTACCATCACATACATTTACAAAATCTAGAAGACTGTCAGAACCAACCCTCCACCCAGTATAACCCAAGATTAAAAAATTACAATAGTTGCCCCTTGTTTCAAGAAGATTAGATTGTCAAAAGTGAAAGGAAATATTAATATTTTGACATGGTAATTTACCTGAAGCCAAATAATTTTCCAGTAAATCCCATCGTGACAGTTTCCAGGCTGCTTCCACTCTATAAGTGTTCAATTCAGAAATCCATTCAGATCTATTAAAAGAAAACAAAGGCAATAAAAGTTTGTGCTGAACTATTTTTTTTCCTTTCCCACCTCTGTATGTTAGCTCTACATTATATTATCAAATATTATTTGAATAAAACTTCTCTTACTTGAAAAGAAGCAAGGTAATCTTGCTTCTAATAAAATTCAGTAAAACCAAGGATATGCATTGATAAAAAAATAATAGCTGTACAACACAATCCCACAAATTCAATTTCCAAGTAGTGTATTTAACTTCTATGGCATATTTTTAAATTACCATCTTGCAATCCATTTATCCTAATAGGCTACAGAATAGCTATGGAACAAGTAACATGCAAGACAATGAATGAAAGATTCTATTTAATAAAGTAAAGCACATACCAAGACTGCACACAGTGCAGACAAGAAGTACTAACATCTCTGGAAGTCTTGAAATACATGATTTATAGACAAAGCACTTAAAAGTTCTCTACCTTCACATTGCTAACTGGTTATTCTGGATAAGCCTCAAATGCTTGATAATGTGCAAAAATAGCTACTGACACACAGATGTAAAACAAGAGCTTAATATTACTTAAATAAACATTGTATTAGATGCTTACAGTACCTGTTTGCAAGCACTCCATTGACCTGAGTAATTACAGTAGATAACTGACCAAGGCCTAACATGGACTTCACTACACCATGATAATGAATGATCTAGACATAGGAAGGGGGAAACAAAAAAAAAAAAAAGAAAAAACCACACATACATCAATGAAACTCATGGCATTCTGAAGGAAGAATTATGTTTGAATGCCTTTTATAATAAGAAAAGGCATAACCAATTGTATCATAAGCTAAATGAACATTCAAAAATGTAAAAAGTCTATAATTACCACAGAACTTAAATCACCATTGGCAATTTTTGGAATGCGCCTCATCACAAATCACAGGATCACAGAACGGTGGGGGTTGGAAGGGACCTCTGGAGACCACCTAGTCCAACCCCCCTGCCAAAGCAGGTCTGCCTACAGCAAATTGCACAGGAAGGCATCCAGGTGGGTTTTGAATGTCTCCAGAGAAGGAGACTCTGCAACCTCTCTGGGCAGGCTGTCCCAGTGCTCGGTCACCCTCACAGTAAAGAGGTTTTTCCTCATGTTTAAGTGGAACCTCCTGTATAGTTTGCTGTTAGTATATTAATACCCATATCCGAGCTGTGAATAAAAATTTGATTTAAAGAAATGATCAACAACAAGAAGAAAAGTCACTGAAAGGAAATAACCCCAAAACCGAAGCAATTTCACTCTTCATAAAAATGTTTTCCATACTCTGGGAATGAAGTAGGGCCACCAAAACACCCTATTTACTACACCTGTTACCAGCTGTGCTAGATAACCTCTGCTTCATAGGGAAGTACCAGAAACCATAGAGATACTCTGGTCTAGGAAACTTTTACCAATTTCCATTAGAAAAGTATTTCAAATATAGAAAGGTAATACATGTCTTCAACTTTCTTTTTGCATCTATCATCACATCTCTGGATATTCACTTTGGTATACAAAAAAAGCATGAAGGTTTTCCAGTACTGCTCAGCTTTACCGTACTTTATACTTAGATGTTCCAAATAAAGGAAGGGAAAGGGGAATGGAAGACAAATAATCCTAAATTTTCTTTAATCCATTTCCACCTGCTCTTATATTATGAACATTGTCCCTGGAAGTCAATAATAAAAAATAAGTCAGAATTACTTTGAATGAAACCTGTGGTAACTCGCTTTAACAGTTCTCTTGGCAAGTACTAGTACCGATTGTTACTTAATCCAATTCCAGGCATTCCCAAGCAAAGGCTGAACTTTAATTGCTAAGCTGTCCTAGCAAAAACATGGGCAGAAGCATCCAACTATTAACCCAAGCTTGCAAGTTACAGTATAAACCCAATAAGAGATTTGTTTCAGTTCATAAATACTTCCATTAGCAATAATTACTCAGTGACTGCCACAGTAAACTCTTATGTTTCCACTTTACTTAAAAGATCCTCAAGAGGAATTTTTGGCTTAGTCTTATCTTAGTTAAGAATATTAATAATATTTTTTTTTTAAAAAAGATTTTGCCTTGTACTTACCTGATCAGGTTCCAGTTGGATAGCCCTATCATAACAGGCTGTGGCATCTCTTAACAAGCCAATACTTTCATGTTCAAGGATTTGTTCTTTGAGAGATGGTTCTGCTTTCCGAATTGCACTCACCCCAGCTACTCCATCTGGCTCATGCATAGCAGCATACAATTTCTTTATTCAAACAGAATTGTAAATAGACATTAAAAACAGCTCTAAGACAACAAGAAGGTATTTTATATAGAACATGCTCAGAATGACAAGCCATATTGAAAATGGAGAACGAATTACTCTGTAGGACTTCTTGGCACTAAGCTTTCATGGAACACATCAGTTTTGCTGGGTTACTCCCAAAGTTGAGCCTTACTTTTGCTCAACATACTGTAATACTCATTATCGCATACTACCAAAAGAATAAAACATCAAGTTACCTGAAACAATCTGTGTAAAGGGCAAAATAAGTATCTATTATTACATGATAAAGCTGTATAATATGAAGGTTCAGACTACTTATGGTGGAAAAGCAATATACTAAGTTTTTCAAATTTGAAATGACACTGAGGAATATAAACCATAAGGAACCACAAACAGGCTCATCCCACAGGTTAAAATACTTCTTGAAAATAATTTATATTGTTTTCAACACCCTTAGCACTAGCTCTTCCTCTACTTTAGTATAAGCCACTTAGCTTTCCTTCAAATGTGTTTTGGCTGTTTTGTAGTTGTTTTTTGTTTTGGGTTTTTTTGTTACTATAGTTGGCTGTGTTTTCTCTGACAAAAGGCACAAAGTTAACTAAAAGCAATAAATGGTATACTTTCAAGAAAAATACATTTAACTATTTTCAGGATTTTACAGTCTTTTATTATACATAGAAAGCTACTCCTTCCTCTTCATATAAGAAGCATGCCAAGCAAGGGGAAGTACTAAATATTGCTGAAAGACAGACAACTAATCACTTGTATCCAACAGCAAGAGCCTGACTACATCTTTTCTTCTTCCCACTTCAGAGAAGAATTTGACAAAGCTTTATTTATCTGTGTCTAATTTAAAATAAAACAAACAAAAACCAAAAAGAACTTCAGAACCTGAAGAAATCCAAGATGCTCCTGAATATTTTGTTTCTTCTCTGTAATGAATGATTCAAAGTGCATCACAGCCCTTGTGTAAGCCTTAGAGCGAAAGGAAGCCACAGCTAGTGTATCCTGAGGTATGAGGTCTAGAAAACGTGTCACATTTTGGTATTCTCCATAGTCCTCACTTGATGCTATACAAAAAAACCAAAAAAGTCAAAAAGTCTGTTCATTGAGGTTTCATTTAGAAGAATTACATTATGCATTAAAATTCAGATAATTAATTTAACAATTTAGTGAGATAATCTGATTAACTTAAGAACACATTTTTTTCTTCTGTCAACAATAGTTCATTTGAAACAATCCTAGTGAACTTCCTGTATCAGTACAGAATATGTTACATTGAATCTTCAGAAAATAACCAAGAAGTTAACATTTCATTTTTTAATTTTGAATCTGTATTTCTTACAAAAGGCATTCAAAACAATGGATTTGAGGTGGGAGGGGGTGGAAATCACAATATGATAGTAAGAAATCATAAAAAGGACTAACATATTCATATGCATATATAGTAATATTGCATTTTGAAATGGTCATAATGTGAAGTGGCAAATTTAAATACTTATTTGAAAAATGTAAATGCCACCTTAAACAAAATAAGCATCACTCACTTTTTGGATCTCCTCTGTCTTTGCTAGACTTGCTAGTATTTTTCTCAGCAATAAGTATTTGAAACTTATGTCTAGCCCACTGAGTGAGATGATCTAGCATGGAGAACACCGTCTGTGTGCTCAGCTGACTTAGATCAGATGCACTGTCTTCAAGTCTCCTAGTAGACTGGTCATCATGTTTCAGAACAGCCATAATCTCCACATAAACCTACACAAACATTAACATGATAAAAGATAGAAGCACCATACAGGCATCAAAATAGTAGGAAACAGACACAAAAATCAACCTAAAATACTAGATATTTTAATGGTATATTTTAATAATTTCGGGCTTATTTACAAGCTCTGTTTGTCCCACAATCTTAAGAAGAAATGGCAAACTAAGCAGTTGTTGTTGGGAGATTTCATACAGGGAGAAAGCCTTTGAAAAGCAAACCCTTGGATTTGGAATAACCATCATGATTATTGGAATTTTAGGTCTCAAGACACAATGAATGCTGCTGCACTTCTGCTGCAAAAACAATACTTTTGTATTGGTAAGAGTCCAGTGATCTACTGCCTATCAGATCACAGATCTACTTTTTGCTTATATTTAAGTAAATACCACACTGAAAGACCTGGTTCCTGTTTGTTTTAGACAACAAAATACAAGTTAAAATACATAAGCAATGGTTATTGTGGAGGTATTTGTTGACAAGAAAAACCAACACATACCTCTACACACTCACAGTGTTTAAACACAGATACCTTATCTTAGCTGTGAAATTTAAAATTAATAGAATGTAAGTTATATTTTTCAGTCTCTTCAACTTCTGCTAAAGCAAAATGAAGCAAAGCAGACTGTATGATTCTCTTCTCCCCTATCTCTGCTTTGCTACAAGACATCTATGAATCCAGTAGCTAAATAGTTTTTCCACTTAAATTGTAAGTGTATGCAAGGGAGAGAAAAAGTTATGGGTCTGAATTCTTGGAAGTATACAAGTTCAATTTATTCCTTGTGTTACACTCTCCTCCTCTTTGTATGACTCCAGCTCTTGATGTTACTGCAGTCATAATTAACTGCATAATATCTCATCCTAGGCCCTACTGAAGAAATAGATGAAAATCCACAGACAAGTAGTTCAAAACAAACTTGTACAAGTATATTCAAAACTCCATAAAAAAAATATTATTATCACAGGAAAAAGAGTTTAACACCTATACAATTTGTTCATGTAGGTCTACAGTGATTCTACAGAGCTGAACAGCTCTTAGGAAGAACAGGTCCTGAACATTCCTATGAAGAACACTACCTTCTTATACATCTCACCTCTTGTTGATCCTCTTGACTGCAACCCAACAAAACATAGACAAGGATGTGTGGAAGCAGATAAATTGTCACTTTATAGTCATTCTTCATCATAATACTGCAGCAATCAAAAACTTTTCTGGCAAGATCATGTCGCACCTACAGAAAAATATTATTTCCAGAAAAAGCATCATTACAAAAGTGCAAATGCTTGAACAATTAATAGGTTTCTTTTTGTTAACAAGTAAAATTATTTGATAGAATAGAATTTGTAAGATATTTGTCTTCTATAGAAAGTTCATCAGATGGCAGCTGCTATTACATGTATCAATTGATGATAACACAAAAAGAGAGGCAAGCTTTGCTTATATGTTCCACTTTTCCATGTCTTCTACACCATTGTAAACTTGCAGCAGCCTTAAAAAAAAATCTTAAGGCCAAGAGTCTACTACTGCACTCAGCCTCTCTTCTGCCCTTAAAAGCCCACAAAATCTAGGAAATAATGAAGACATTCAATTCTTCTGTCTGAAATAGAAAGAGGAAAGTGTAACTACTGAGCTACTGTGGTTAAATTAACTTCTTAAAGCAGCTGATTTAGAAGTGAAATTTTAAGTGGGTCACTTATATGTTGGAAAGGGGAAAGGACAGGAAGAAGAAACAAGTACTTTTCATGTGCTGGGACTGCGGATCTATAGGGAAATGAAATAAATCTTTCCGAAACTGAGAAGATAAATTTGAGGTTTTCCAGAAGCATTTCAGATACTTTTCAGAAGCATTTGTCAGTGCCTTCAGTTGTACAAGAGTCTCTGGACAAGGGCAAACTTCCTAGACTTTTGGCTTTGATGTTATGTGTGAAGCCTAGCCAAGAAACAACAATTCTGGGGCAGGGAAGGTGCATGGTTACCTTGGTGATGCAGGAGTCTTTGGGTATGTGCTTTAACAGGCCTATAGCAAATAGGTGTATTTCCCCAACCATCCCTGACTTTCAGAAACGGAAACATGGCTCAAGAACTGTTGTATACACACCAATACAGACAGCAGATTTATTCTCTTACCTTTGTTATGAGATAACCTGCCCAAGTAGCTGACCATTCTGCAAAATTGTCACCTAATTTGCTTAAGTAAATTGGCTTCTTCATCTTAGACCAATTTACAGCCTTTTGATAACTCTTGTACCTGTAATTTTAAAATATTAATTTAATATAATAAATAACAATAGCACACTGTTAATTATGAAGTTCTCTAACCAGAATCATATTAAGTTCCACCTTCTAATTTTAAAAAAGAATTAAGAAAATACTTTCAGTAGTCAGCTTCTTTTAAAATAGAGCTTCTTAAAATGAAACATGAAAAATAAACAACCTAAGATGTTACACAATTTTTAAGTATACTCGAAAGTGCTGTTCAAATCAGTTTTAAGAAATGCAGTTTGATAAATATCTAAGTACTATCTTTTTGACATAAAAAACTCAGAACACATATGAAAGCCAAGAAATGCCAAGAAGTTTGTTTTCTAAAAACGTAAAACTTATGACAGATGAGCATGACTGTCTTCAAGAGGAAATGGAAATGAAAGATTGTTGATTATTTCAAATTAAGATGCATACATCATTTAAAGTTTTCCTCCCATAATTTTTATAATTAATTCAACAAAATGAAAAGTCAAATTAAAACCCAACAAGCTCCTCCTACTTCTATAAAGTGTAGCAGTAAAGGAATATTACAGTATTTGAGTACAAACTCAAATCCTAGTGAGGATTTGTACAAAGGAAAGGAAACAGAAATAAAAGCTTCAAAACATTGTATCAGACAATGCTGTGGGACAAACAGGTAGATCTGGGCAAAGTTTAAGCTGACATTTTCGCTTGTTTGATTTATAGAGAATTACATTCAAGGAAGTGCTAATTCAGCTTTACGTAGAAAGACCTTGTTTGAATTTTGTATATGCACGTATCAGTCTTCACAGAAGAGTAACAATCATAAAAGTTATTGCTAGCTGGAGAAAAAGTTGGTTTAGAGCTGTTAAGAACAGAAATTGCCTGGGTTGTTATATACCGTGTTTTTAAGTGAGGTTCCAAGATCTCCTGCACGTGCTCAGGAAACCTCCTCCAAAGCCTGGAGCCTGGGCAGTCAGTGTTTGTCTCTCTACAGTCATAGATGGACAGTAACTCCTGAAAAGGCACAGTTCACATGACCAAGTTAGCACTGCAAATATTTCATGACCACAGTAGCAAAAAAAAACCCAAAAAAAACCAACAAACAACCGAGCGCACATACAGAAGTAATGAGATAGACGTTACAAAATGCTTAATTCAGAAATTATAACTGCAAAACTCTTATCCAACATTGTTAATCCCCTATTAGTAGGCAGTGTCGATATCAGCTAACTATTGATTCCCCAGATGCTCCGTTTGGTGTTTGGACCACATTATCCCATATTCTTCACATTTGCCAATAAACCAGGGCTAGAAGTTAATCTGATTCCTCCTTGTGCATAAGCTAATGAAATTTTCTTATTTTGGTGACTACACAGGTCCACTTATTTTCGCCTGGAACAAAGAACTGTCCTGAGGTTTTCACAAAGATATTAAACAGCAACAACAACAAAACAAACTAACAAAAAAACCCCATCAACCACCCAATCAGCTTGGACTTGGCAAAGCAGCACGGAAGACTAGACTCTGAAAATAAGGGTAGGCTCCCTTTCAGTTGCTTCTTAAAAGTGTAAGCAGCAACCCTCTTAGGAATACTTACTGCTTTTCATTTCTGCCTATGGAACCTGCACCATTTCTAAGTTAGTCTCAGGATTACTCCCTGAATCACTATGTATGGACTGTTAGTCACCCCTGAAACATCAGATCTCTCCTTCCTAAAACATTGTGACACAAAAGCAAACAAATATTTTATTTGACAGCTCCCCAGAATTCTAAGTGAGCACCGAGGAGTTTAAAAAAAGAAAAAAAATCACTAACCTGAATAACCTTTTACCTTATAATTTAAAGCTGTATAGGATGAAGTTTCAAATATTCAAACGTGTACTTCAAAATGTACATTGATATTGCATAATTCTAAATTCAGTGTGATAAGAAATAATTTGTGAAGAAAAAATAGGATTTAATCACATATCTTACCTGAATCGCATAAGCTGCAGAATCCTGAGCACGAACATTATCAGCATAAGCAAGGAATGCTCTAGTCAGTTCCATTAATAATCCATAGGCAAAATTTGGATCCTCCACACCAGCCTCAGCCACAAACAGAACATCAGTTTTATTATAACAAACAGAGTTAACAGCTGTATCTTTAATCTCTAAATAATCACTTTGAAGCCTGACTTCAAAACTGTTTTAGATGATGAAGCAAATACAGATTTTCAAAGGTCTAAAGATAAGAGGTTCCCTGCTCCCAAGCACTTTAAAAAAACCCCTTAATGCTAAACAAAAAAAATGCTTAATGGTAAAACAAACCCCCACAATCTTAATGCTAAACAAAACACTACAGCAACACTTCTTACCACAAATGTAAAATGTTTTCCTTGAGTTTCACTCGTTGAAAAATCGAGCCTGCCAGGATCTATGGCTCCCAGTTCACCTAAGCATTCTCCACAAAGTAGTCGGGCTTGAGAATTTGCATCCTGGCAGCCAATGAGAAGTACAGTTACCAACTGGGAGATGACTGGCTCCACAGTTTCACTGTCTGTTACATACTTTATCAATTTTTCCTAGGAAGTAAAAAAATAAAGATGAGTTATTTTACAACCATGTTTATGGACATCTTGGAAATTTTCCATCTGTAACTCACTCTTCATATTTCATTTACCCATGACTTTAGGTTACTGATTCAAATACTGCCATTTTGTAACTACAGCCCAACTGCCCTAAATTGCTTGCTACCCTAGAAAGGATTAAACAAATTAATAAGAATGAGCGATTTTAGCCTCAATTAATACTGCTGTCACGACCAATACTGTATTTCACTATCGTACACCTCTCTACTAACTCCATTTTCTTTCCTCATCTTACCAAGAACCTCTCTTCCTTTCTACATTATCTTTTTCACTTCTCTCTCCCTTCTCTTCATGTGTTCGGATACTTCGTCTCAATTCCTTTCATGCAGCTGTTCTCATACCTTCTGGTTTTGCTGTCATTTGTATCCTTATTATTTCCCATTTGTTGGCCGTTTTGTCACTCTCAGTCTGACAAAGCCCAGGGTTTCAAGTCCTTTAAACAATGCCCATCATTTTAATTGGACGTCCTTTTTTTTTTTTCATTCTGGCCCAGCTTTTGTTCTCCAATTTTCTCTTAACAACGTGAAGATGTTTGCCATTGCTATGCTTAATGAAAACTGAAACCACAGCCAACATAACTGAGTGCAGTTTTGGGTGCCACAGGATAAAAAGGATCTAAAGCTACTGGAGAGTGTCCAGAGGAGGCCACTAAATTGGTGAAGGGCTTAGTGGGGAAGCCGTATGAGGAGAGGCTGAAGTCGCTTGGTTTGTTCAGCCTGGAGAAGAGTAGACTGAGAGGAGATCTCATCACGGTCTAGAACTTTCTCACAAGGGCAAGAGGAGGGGCAGGTGCTGATCTCTTCTCTCTGGTGACCAACAATAGGACCACAGGAAATGGCAGGAAGATGTGCCAGGGGAGGTTTAGGTTGGACATCAGGAAAAGGTTCTTCACTCAGAGGGTGGTGGAGCACTGGAACAGGCTGCCCAGGGAGGTGGTCATGGCACCAGGCCTGACAATATTCCAGAAGCATTTGGATAAGGCCCTCAGACACATGGTCTGAATCTTGGGATTATCCTATATTAGGGCAAGAGTTGGACTCGATGATCCTTGCAGGTCCTCTCCAACTCACAACATTCTATGGTTCTATGATAACAGAGTAAATTAAGTTTGATTTGCCTCAATTATTTTGCTAGACTTTTAACTACAGAAGACATGGCAAGATTTTGCTGATCTGAACTGCGAGAATTACTGGTTGGCCAGGAATATACACAATGATTGTTTGGTCTTTTAGCTAGGATTTTTAAAAATTTCTGACTGGAGAGTATTCCACAATCTTAAAGCTACTAAGGGGACAGGTGTATTTTTTTTTTTTTTTTAATAGGTCAAATACACCCCTCTGGGCTATTAACCACACAGATCTGTAAAGCAGAATCTTCAACTTGTACATGGCTATAAAATTTATTTGAACATCATCAATGGATTCAAATTTTTGAGAGTTGAAGGAAGAAGGAAAAAAAAAAAAAATCAAAGGTGTGACATGGTCACACACACCTTAATTCTTTCAGCTATTACACTAACACACAAAAAATGCTGGCTTTAATGTATTAGTCTCCTGATGCAAAGCCATACATGTTCTAAGAGAGAACAAGCTCACACAATTGATTGCTGAAATACACATCTTAGATACATCTTTCCTCAGAGTTGAAAAAAGATAAGAAATGTACCACTAGCCTTGCTGAATCAGCATCGCACAGATTTGGAGCATCTGAAAGTCCTCTTACAAGGAGACATGATGGAAAAGAATCCTTTCTCCCCATTATATTAAGAAACAGCTAGCTTAATAAATTGAGGAGAATAATACAGTTCATGTGAACACCTAGTAAGAGTAAGGAGTTTTACATTGTTGGTCCAGATGCTACTTTGATTTCTTTTGAATTCTACTAAAAGAGGTTTTCTATACCTGGTTTCTATATAATGTTTCTTTCAGGCTGGTAAGTGCATGAATACGAACATCCACATTCTCATGCTGAATAGCTCTCATAGACAGCTGCAGTGTTGTCTGCAAGTCAGTGCTTTTGGAGGATTCCTGCACAAGACACGACACAAGAAGTTCAAGTTAATTCTAACAGGAACGTGGTTAAGCAGCATCTCAAAGAACACAAGTGAGAACACAACAAACAATTACCTTTCTGCCTACATTCTCACCTATAACCATATAACCCTGTCTAATTTTCCTCAAAAAGCTGCTAATGATGGTGTAAATAAAAGTTATTAAATCAGAAGAAAATGCTTTGCTTTGAGCAACTCTTGATCTAAAAACAAGTTAATTTTTACTTTTGTTACCTCAAGCCCACTAAATAATTGCTACTTCCCATGTACTACCCAACCATTCTGAGGGCAAGCAAAAGAAATGGACCACAGAATACTCCCAGAAACAGACAAATTTTGTTATCTTTAAAGAGAATATGGAAGAGGGATCAAATTAAAATTAGCTTATCTTGTAATACATTCATTGACATAGCTAATACTGCTGACTTCTAATCTTATAATCTATTTAGTCTCAAAAAGATGAAAAGTCAGTGGTCAGGAGATGTTACAGAAACAACCATGTTAAACGTGAGCATCTCCCTCCTAAAGAAGAATCCGAACCTGCTTCAAAGTATTCCTGTGATACACAAATTCTGTTTTGTTGGAGGCAGGTAAATACTATTTCTGTTTAACAAAAAGTAAACAAATAAATAAAAGAAGGTGTACCTTTCTGTATTCCTGAAGGACGACCTGAATTTCTTTTAGTTCTGGAAGGTCAGGCAGAAAATATATTTCATGTAAGAAGTCTCGTACTGCATCCCTGATAGTTACAAAAAATATAGCAAACATTAGTTAGATCAGAAAAATCTTAAAAATCCATAAAAAGAAAGTAATGAAATGTAATTACTAGAAGAACAAAGGCTTGAAAAGCAGAAAAAAAGTAAATTCCATTAATTTTTTACTTAATTAAGCATACATATTAAACAACTTGTTTCTCTTATTACTCAACTAAGCCACAGGTAACTCTCTGCTATACTTTAAATTACTTTCTCTTTTAAAAATAGTTTTTGCCAAAGCTTTCAAAGTTGCAATTCACCTCTGCCACAACTGGCTCTCTGTATTTTGGACACTGGACAAAGGGTGAGAATAATCCCATTTGCTGTGAATCCAGTTTCAGTTTTCCTCATAAGAAAACACACAGCCAAAAAAAAGAATACTGTGACCCCAACACAAAGGAATCTCTTTCAATTTTGCTGCTATGGGCTTCTACAAGAGCCTTATTATTCCTATTGTCAGCTTTTATTTTGAATGCTGTTGGTATGATGCAGTGCAAGAAAAATGAAAGCCCAACAAAAGTAATCAAAATATAAACTATCACCATTCCTAAAAAAATAATAATTTTAAGCTACAAAACATAAGATAAAAAAGAATTAAGACTCAACATTGTCTTCAAAAAGGTAAAGTCACAAAAATGTAAGTCTTTTGTATTAGAGTCTGATTTTATTTTCAGTTGGTGTGGCCACTTGTGAAGAGGATGTATGAAATCTTATTCAACATTAAATTCCGTGCACTTCATAATTACAACTCTAATTACTGAAAGAAACAAATAAAGAACTAATTTCCTCCCTCTTTCCAACTCTGTACACTATCCCTGGCTTAGAGCAAATGTTAGCAATCATTGTTATTCTGTCTGCCTGCCCTATGGAGGGAAGTCATTTCCTGTACCTGCAGAAAAAAAATGCAGAATCAGAAAGCCCAGCAGGGCTAAGTATCTGAATGGGTTGTAACTTGGCCATAGCATCATATATTTTCATAAGGATAATATAAAAACACCTTTTTAGAGGAGGTTTTCACTTGTCAAACTTTTAAATCTCATTGTAATTTAGAGAAGCGGGAATTTTATAGGACAATACACTATTTTGCAGAAATCCACGTTTTCTCATCTCAGTGCTGGACAACTTTAATTTAGGGCTATCCTCATTCCTGTGGATTTAATCCATATAACTGAAAATATTTTGTACAGTACCTGTTCTCCACGATAAGAAAGTAAAATACGGCAGTAGTTTCTTTTGGTTGGATGTGTATAAGGGGCAATAACGCTACTATCACATGACTAAGCAAGGAGCCAAGATATGAATGGTCCAGACTTCGAACAAAACAGTCCCAGGCTCTAAACAAGAAAAAACAACAGAACAATTGTAATCAATGATTCTTCTCTGCATAAAGACATTTCAGGTGAGGCATGAGACGCATTTTAAGTTATTTCAGTTCTGTGGTTTAGATTATTGTCTAGAACAAAACAGAACAGTGTATTCAAGGACAGAAACAGCAGGTATTACAATATTTGGGTACCCTATCAGTTCACCTGCAACACAGTTCTGGAAAGTCATCCTTGTATCTTAGAGCTGTTCTCAATGTAGTCATCATCTTCACTCTCACTGAACTGATGTGCTTGGGACCCATGAGCTTCATTAAAGACATAAGACTGTTTAAAGCCTAGACAGAGAAAAGTAATTTTAGTGTATTAGATACTCAGTGAAACAAACACAAGTCTTATTTTCTAATAAAATCAGGCTACCCTAGCTTAAGAAATCGTATCTTATAATATATCAAATTCAGTTTGATGTTTCAATAAAGAATTTAGGGGTTAGAGAAAAAGAGAATGAAAGGGGATCTGTAACGACAGGATTGTAACAGAAAAGTCATTATTTAGGCAGCTGACAGATTGATGAGAGAAGAACTGTCGACACCAAAGGAGTTCATGGTTATAGAAGTCTATTATAAGACGTGATTGACTGTATGTATAAAGTTTTAGAAACTGAAAAGAACAAGTTTTGAAAATACAAAAGAAAAAAAGAAAATTGCATTAAAAAATGAAAGAACAAAACACCAGCAACAGAATTGACATACAACTTCTGGCAGAAGTGATTTGTAAACTTCATGGAACAGGTAACAGCTGAGTTGTTAATAGGACTCATGAAAGACAGAAGAGAAATACTGAGATGTAGAAAAGCAGGACATATTTCAGTCACAGTAACACTGTACCAAACAAGGTAGTACAATAGCCAGCATTACAGATCAGTAGCTTAGGAAGAAACCTGAGCTTGAGGAAAGGTCATGGTAAGGGAAACTCACCAAGAACAAAAAACATAATGAGAAAATACAGAAACAACATAAAGGTACAGCAGAAGAAACGCTATACAAATGAAGACATTCAGAGAGTGTGAAAACATGGGGCTATGAAAATGAGCACATCTCAACATGAATACCTGAGAAGCAAAAAAGCTTGAAAGAACACCTGAGAAAATGCAGTCCATCAAAGTCAAGGCTATATACACCCTAGCACTGAAAAATTCCCTACAGAATTCGTCTGCGCTACCTCAGTGAGGTGGCTAAAAGCCCTGTCTTGTGGTTAGAAGCATGGCCCCAGCAGAGCAGAATTTTCAGACTTTGTATCAAGGTGTGAGCTCTAATTTCTCTAAATGCTCTCTACTATAAAGCTGAAAAGAGCTGTTCTGTGAGAAGCAAAACCAATAAAGCCCAGTTTCTCTTGGATTTGCATCTTATTTTCTTTAGCTTTGCCCTTTGGTGCCCTTATAATCCAGTTCCTTGCAGTAACTCCAGTTTTCTCCCCTACTCCCTCATCCTCCACTTTGTCTCTCACACATATAAAACATGCACTTGGATTGCTCCTCTATAATTACTGGTTGAGTGACTTATTACACATACCGTGTCTGACTGAAATATGTACATGAGCTGACCATTAAAGAAACAAAACAAACTTACACAGAAGTCCTACCCACAGTGAAACCATCAGTTTTCAAGAATTATGTGGGAACCTTAGTATCTTTGAGACTTCAATGACAGCTGCACAATTATGTAAGTAAGTCTGGATTAAAATAGTCCTTGTTTATCTTTATTTTAATATTCAAAATTAAGTTTACATACCATTTTTTTATCCTCAATGCCAACACTGGAACTCAGTAACTGCATGTTAAAAAAAGCCAAGATACCAAGCAATTTAGGTTGCAGATAATCAGCCTGTGAAGGAGGTGAAAAAAAAAAAAATAAAAAAAAGAAAGAAAAAAAGAAAGAAAAAAGTAAAAACCAAATAATCTTACTATTAGCACATTCCTAATCTTAAGAAATTAAAAAGCAAATATGAAATGCTAACTCTGAAGGATAAATGAGAAGAATCCCAAATACATACCCTGCTCCCTAAGAAATACCAGTGTTAATGAAAGACATCCCTATTAGGTTGTAGGGGGTTTTTTTGTTTTGGTTGGATTTTGGGGTTTGTGTGTTGGGGTGGCTGGGTGAGGACTTGTTTAGGGTTTTTTGTTTTGTTTTTTATGCATATTTGGTATGCATCTCCCTATTACAGCAACACTTAATATGAAATGACAGCCTTTCCTCCACCTTTTGCCTCAAATAAGTGATGTTCAGAGAACATCAAGTTGTCTTCACTCTCAGACTGGAGAGAAAAAAGTTACTGAACAAAATTGAACACTAATATTTTGACATTCTTACCATTTGTTCAGGTGATATTATTTCTCTAGGTCCCTGATAGGGATCATCATGAGATGCAAATGAAGCCAATATTGACAAACCATTGAAGACTTGTTGATAGTGTTCTCCTATACGCAGTAATAATTCATTATGTAGTCCCTGGTAGTCCTGTCTCAGCAAGCTGCCAAGTTCTATCTCGGTCTCATTCTATAATCAAATACCAAACAGAAACCAAATTTTCATTTGCAACTTCAATGAAACCAGCACACTGAGAGACAGGAGGCACTGGGATCTGGTTGATTTACCAGAAATCAAAGAAAAAGCTTCCAACCAGCTCAACATTAGATAAACTGAGTTTTTAAGTTTGCAAAATACAACAGTTCCTCAGAGTCAATGGAACAGATTATAAATAACAAGAACAAAACTTCTGCATATACGATTTCCCACCTATGCTTTGCAAGACCTTAACTTAAATAAAGCAGAAAGCTCACTATTCAGCAATGGCTGCTCCTAATCTGCATATATAATAGAGTAAATGCCACTTTACCTTGAGGTAATGAAGCGCCCGCTCAAGCTCATCCTTGGAGCAGGAACAGACCAAATGAGAGAAGATGTATTTGAAGTTATTGATCAGAATCTCTCTTCGGTTTACATTCAGCTGTTTTGCTATGGTTCGAATAAGTGTGGAGGCTGCAGGACTAGCCTTGGCTGCAAGGTCAGGAAGCAAAACTTGTAGGGTGCGCTGGTAAATTAAGAACAACACTTAATGGGAAAAACAAATAAACAAAAAAATCCCTCCAAAAACCCAAGGTTCAGCTTTGTTCCATTTATGTCAGCACAACACCACACATCTCCGGTCATACATATGACCATAGATATTAATAAAGAACTTTAATGAGATGGTAATACCTAGTAAAAATGCAGATAAAAATTACTTAAGGAGATGCTTCACCTAATCAATACTGAGAAGCATGCAAACAAAAAGCAAGCTACCATTTTTTGCATACATCCAGATTCTCCACAAAAGGAAATCTTAAAAAAAAACCCAACCCAAACCACTCCACAAAAAAACCCCACACCCACATATATCAACACCCTCCCAACCTACTACCAATCAGCTAGAACACTGCTTACTTAACAGTTGTGCCTTTCCCATCTACCAACAAGCAAAATACAAGTATGAAGCTACTTAGGCTTCAAGTATAACAGATATGTAACCAGATCAAGCAGAGATCTACCCATGGAAGAACAGCTTTCTTCAGCTGAAACAAGAAAGCAGACACCATGCAAAAATCATGTCTTACAAAGAATCTCTCCAAGTGCACTAAATCATTAATGTAGATATACTTGATGAGTACTCCAGACCTTAGTTAGTTCACTATTTGTCATACTTGAATTAGCACTGTAGCCATCACTGTAACTTCTTGATAAAACTGCTCCTCTCCATTTGAGCTCCAAGTTACAGCAATCTCAAAGTATTCTATATAACAAACAACAGCAACTAGAGAAAAAAAAATTCACAGAATCACAGAATGCTAGGGGTTGGAAGCAACCCTGGAGATCATCTAGTCCAACCTCCCTGCCAAACCAGGTTCGTCTAGAGCAGGTAGATCTGTGATAGTTGTGGAAAAATTGTGAACTATAATAGAAATCCACAAGCATACACACACACACACACACAAAATCAAAAGTATAAAGGACTGACCAACTTACTGAGAGAAAACGATTTAGATCTGGAAAATCAAATACATTGGCAATCTCAGATAACATGTCCAGAGCCATTTCTCGCTGATGAGCAGCTGTTTGTTTCTGTAGCTCATTACCCTGGCATGGAGCACTCAAAACTGCCATCTGGCTAGAGTGCAGGGATTCCACTAGAAACTATGCAGAAAGAAATCAAAATTTCATATTATTTTCCCCTTTGTCACTTCCTAAAAATTAACACAAGAGTTTCACTCCTCTTTCTATACATCCATTTTTCTTTCTCATTTGTTGCACATATATCTACAATTATTACTTTGTGATAGAACTGTATCATCTGCTTAATAACTGCATTTAATTTTACAACCTTGGATTCAGACATTGCATTATTAAAAAAATACACAAAATCAGGAAAGTCTTTTAAACAAAATTTCTGTTGTTAGGTAATAGGTAAAACAAAAGAACAAAACAATCATGTCAGTATCATGCCTGTAAAACGTTTACTTCAATTCCAGTTTTAAATCATAGCCTCTTGTAACAATGCTACAACACAATGCAAGAAACTATATAGTTCCTCTATTTCAGCATGACAGCACGTAGGGAATAAAAAAAGAAAAGCAATACTGCTGAAGGGAGAAGACAATGGCAAAGTCAAAGATTTCTCATTCCTTCCTGAATGTTTGTGAGGTCTATTTTGTTATGTTGTTTAAATCATCTCTTTCTTGTCCTTTGAGATTTCATCTTGTAAAATATTGTAATTTTTACCTTTCATACCATTTTCAAATTACACAAAAAGAATCTAAACATCTGTCTTTCAAAACCACCAACTCTCTTCTTTTTACCTGACAGATAGGCTTCTTGTACTGACTGAAAAAAGCTTGCAGCTTTATGGACTTTGCTGCCGCCAGGGATCGAATCTCTGTGTATGCTGCTCCAGCCACAGAAGCTGACTTGGACAACAAACAGTGCAACAAATGCAAGAGGGCAAATGGTACCAAATCTCCTTTTGATGCCCTTACAAAGTAAGCAGAAGAAAAATAATTAAAAAGGAAAAAAGAATCGTTGTGTCAATAAAATGACTTAAGAATATACAATTACCACAATGCTAAATGGCTCATCACTGTACTTGCATAGCTTATCTGTACTTTATATGTCCAAGCAGAAGAAAATGAGGAATATTCCATATGAATCTCTGGACAAAGGCTGACCTTGAAATAAGTAATTAGCAGTGTAGGGGAAAGGGATCTGGGAGTC